GAAGTTCAGCGCAAAGCCCTGCACTACCTTGGGAGGCTTGTCAAAGCTTGCGGTGCAATCGGAGAGGTCGACGTACCCTCTGCTTCGCGCCGGTCTGCACAATTACTTGCACGTCTTGGGGACCTCTCGGAGGAACTCACCTATACGGGGCTGGCTTCTGATGGCTACGGCCCCGCCTTCCCAGGAGCCTCCCTTTCGGAGGAACAGCGTGGTGCTGCTTTGGCCCCTTACCGAAACCTCGACGCCGATCGGCTGAAGCTCTCAGGCAAGGCGAATTGGGACCCGAGCCCCTATCTTCATGATGCCTTGTACCTTGCCTTCCGTGAGCCCGACTCCCTCTTGCGGCCCGTCATCCCTAAGCCCTCTCGAGCCGAGGTGCCGGCCTCTCCTGAGCATGATACCGGGCAGCTTTGCAAGGTTGCTGGTCTATGGGATGCCAATGACCTCCTCTTCCTTTCCCCTGAAGGCCCGCCAGCAGAAAGGCCTTATGAGGCCGTCCGCCTCTTCAACTGCCTCAAGAACTCGACCACTGACCGCCAAATAGCGGATAGGAGGGGACGCAACCACGTCGAATGCATCGTGCCGGGACCCTCCCGTGAGATTCCTACCGGCCCTTCGCTGCAGTGCCTTTACGCCGATCCGGCTCGCCAGTCTTTTCGGATTTGGGCCACCGACAGAAAAGATTGGTATCACCAACTCCTAGTTCCTCCTAGGAGGTCGGTGCGCAACGTTTTGGTGCCCCCGCTCGAGGTCTCGAAACTTGCTGATACTCGTGCTTTTCGCAGGTATCTTGCCTCAGGGGCTGCTGTTCCGCGCCCGGGGAGCCGCCTCCACCTTGGCTTTCGTGGAATCCTTCAGGGGGACGCGCTGGGCGTCGAATTTGCTTGCTCCTCCCACTGCTCTTTGCTGCAATGTGCTGGCCTGTTGAGCTTGAACACCCAGCTCTGTGGATCCAGGCCCCCCCCCCCCCCCCCCGGGAGGCGAGGACTCGATCATAGATGGGCTGGTGATAGATGATTATTATGCAATCAGTGTTCACTCTGACGGCGATGCCTCGCCCTCTCAAGCCGAGCTCGCGTTCAGAGCCGCCAAGGCCGCATATGCCAGAGCAGGAATCATGGGTTCCGACGATAAGGATGTTCGAGGTGAGGACCTGGCCGTTTGCACGGGCGCTGAAATCGACAGCTCCCCGGCCACTCGCTCCCTTGGGCTTGCCCTTGTGGGGGCCCCCCGCCAGAAGAGGATAGCGTTAGCAGCCATCTCCCTCGAGGTTGCCCGGCTGCCTTGCACCACCGACCACCTCCACCTGAGCCTGTTGGGGGGTTGGACGTCCACCTTGTCGACGCTACAAAGGTGCGGCCGCAGGCTGCCAGGACTGTGCCCCTGCCGCGTGCTGTCGCAAATGAGCTCTCCTTGCTCTCGGCCCTCTGCCATGTCCTTGTTGCTGATGTTTCTTCGGACTGGCTCCCGGAGATCTTTGCCACCGACTCCTCTGAGGACAAGGGGGCTATTGTCAAGGCCGACCTTGACCGAGATGCTAGCAAAGTGCTTTGGGGTGCCTCCCTTGGTCCCTCCAGCAGTGCCCAGCTTCTCTCGAAGGAGCGAGCCGCCCTCATGCGGGTTGACAGGTTTTGCGAAGAACTTCTTGAGGAGCACCCGAAGGCAGCTCCTAAGAGGCCTCTTGCCCTCCGGCTGCACTTCCTTGAGGTCTGTGCGACCCCGGCTGGCCTCACTCAGCTCGTTGGCGAGCTCGGCTGGAAGGTCGGCCCGGTTCTTTCGCCCTGGCACTCGCCTGAGTATGATCTCGCTGGAGGGCGCCTCCTTGAGTGGTGCCCGGCCTCTTTTGACACTAGCCGCCTTAAGCCCTGGGTTGCTACCTCCCGTCACCCTGAGGTTTCTGAGTCCATTGTCGATTGGGCGGAGGCCCCTTTCCGAGGGAAGGCCAGGACGCTTTCTTTTGGTTTCGCACAAGGCCTCCCCTCCCTGCGAGGGATTCTTGCTGTAGGTTCCTCAGCTTCTTCAGGTTGGGGTCGGCTCGCCTCGGCTTTTGGTCAGGTCATTGCTGCTAGACTCGAGGCCGTTGAGGCCCTCCTCCTGGCCACCGAGGGCCTCGAGTCTCCCTTGGTTAACCAGTATGCGCTCGGGCTCCCTTGGCAGGTCGCTAAAGCGTGGAGGTGGCCAAGGCCTGTTCACATAAACCTCCTTGAGACCGCCTGCCTCTACCGGCTGCTGTGTTACCTCGCCCGGCGAGGTGAGCTGGCTAAGCGTTTTTGTGCTTTGTGCGACTCGAATGTCGCTAAGTGCTCTGTTTCAAAAGGCAGGAGCCCCTCGCGTGCCTTGAGGCGGGGTTTGAGACGCATCGCTGCCGTTGCCACGGCCTTTGGACTCTCGGTGCAGGTTCCTTTTTGCCCTACCAGATTGATGCCAGCAGACCACCCTAGCAGAGATGCTCCTTTGCCTGAGCCCATCCCTGGTTTCCTTGGTTCCTCCTGGACCTTGGCTGAAATCCGCTCGCTGGCTTCGCTCCCTAAGTTGCGTCGGTGGGCCTCGAATTGGGCCAGGCTGCTCCTCCTTGTGTCGGGATACAGGCCCCCCGTTCTCGCGCAGCATCGCTGCTCCGGCCTCTCCTTCCGTGCCTTTGTCCCTCCCTGCCTGGACTTCGACGCCACTCTTGGTTACCCTGGGGAGGGTCCTGCGGCTTGCTTTTGGGCCCTTCTTCTTCTTGGTTTCAGGGCTAAAGGGGTCAGTGTAGGTGCGAGCCATGGCCTCCTTCCGCGGAACGCTGCTGATCTTGCTCGGCAGGCCAAGAGAGGGCGAGCCGTTTTGCCCCAAGGTCGAGGCGTTGAACAAAAGACGGAGGCCAGGCGTGAGACCCTGTGGGCCTCTTTCCTGGAGTGGCTTGAGGCAACTGGCGTCGACAGCAAGCTCTTCACGCAAACAGACGGTGTTGTTGACATTGACGCCATCAACGCTGTTTTGAGCAAGTACGGCCGGGAGCTCTACGCCAACGGCCGCCCCTTCTCGCACTTTTCGGAGACCATCAACGCTTTTGCTGCGAGGACGCCTAAGTGTCGTCGTTTGCTGCAGCCCGCCTGGGACACAGCTTTTGGATGGCGTCGAGCCGAACCCATCCAGCACCATGCTGCTATGCCTTGGCAGGTCTTATGCTCTTGCGTTGCTTTGGCTTTCTTGTGGGGATGGCCTTTGGTTGCTGGAGCTTTGGCTCTGTGCTGGGGTGGGCTTCTCCGGCCCGGGGAGCTCATCGCAGCGCACAGGTCCGACCTCGTGCTTCCTGGCGACATCGAGTGTTCGATGCCTTTTGCTTGGTTCTCTATAAGAGAGCCAAAAACGAGGTACACAGCTGCGAGGCACCAGTCGGTCAAAATTGACCACCCCGACATCTTGAATGTGATTTCCATCGCCTATGCTCCTTTGCTCGCAGGCAGCAAGCTATGGCCTTCCTCTGGCCAGACTTTGCGCACCAGGCTTCGGCAGCTCCTCGACGCTCTCAAGATTCCAGCGGTGCCCACGCAAGGCGCCCGACACCTGGAGTTGGCGTCCCTCCGGGCGGGAGGCGCTTCTTGGATGATGCTAGTTTGTGAAGACCCAGGCCTGGTACAAAGACGAGGGCGATGGCTCAGTGCGCGAGTCTTTGAAATCTACATACAGGAGGTTGGGACCCTCCAGTTCTTACCGGCGCTGCCTGCGGAGGCTCGATACCGCATCCGTCGAGCCCTGGATGAGTACCACAACTTGGTACAGGCCGCTCGCTTTCTACAGAACGCTGGCATCGCCCCTAAGAACTGGTTTTCTCTCTTTGCCGCAAGGATGCATGCTTGAGCACAACGTGGGAAAGGTGGGCGGTTATGCGGCAGAGGCTGTACAGTTTGGCTTCGCCAACAAACTTGTGCACCTTTCGTACTGCGGTGCAAAAAGTTTGCAGCCGCTCGCATACACGAGGTTCGAGTCCTTGGCACAGTAAGGATGAGAATTGAGTATTGCGCGCTCAAGCTTCCCGCCTCGCCCGCCCGCACCATGCGGCAGAGGCTGTACAGTTTGGCTTCGCCAACAAACTTGTGCACCTTTCGTACTGCGGTGCAAAAAGTTTGCAGCCGCTCGCATACACGAGGTTCGAGTCCTTAGATCTCGGCGTGGGGATAGATTGCAAACCATGGAGACTGATTCGTTCGGAGTTTAAACCTTCGCCACTTTGAGCATCTTCCCGTGCAGCACCAGGTTTCGGGATTTAGGCGCCCAGATGCCACCATTTTTGTGGTCATGATTTTTTGCGACAAACTTGAAGCAGACTCTTGTAACACTGGAAAGGTGAGTCCTGTATGTCAGACGATCTGTGCAACTCCTCGTTTGTTGGAGCAGCATAGCATTGTGATGAGCGACAGGTTGGGCGGTTGCAGAGCGGGAGGACTGCAGCAGCCAGCAAGCAGGTGAGTTCTTTTTAAGCTTTGAGTGTTTGGCCCCAGGATGATGAGGGGTCAGGTCCGGCCGAGGCCCTTCATGTCTCAGCCGCCTAAGGCTGCAGGAGCCTGCCGAAAATGCCCTTTCTCCCTGTGGCGCAGGATGTTCCCATCTTCCTGGAGCCATCAGTCGAGGAATGGATGAGCCTCAATATCTAGGGATGCTCTCCACAGCAAACTCCGGGAAGGACGAAGTCGCTGTACCGAAAGCTCTTCTCGGGAAGGCACGTCGTTGAGATGCCTGACAGAATGACTTGCTCGAAGCATCATTGCCGGGTTGTGGGTAGTGTGGGTGGTTGGCAGCAGTACGATGAGGTCATCGGAAAGCAAGCGGCTACAATCATCGAAATCCGAGAGAAGCGCGACTCTTAAGCTGGATGCAGCCGTACATAGTGCCTCAGCAGCAGCTGTGCTGAGGAGCGGGGCATTTAAAGTGGATGCCAGGGATCAGACCTCCGATCCCTGCATGGCGCGGCATGAGTGCTTAAAGTCTCAGCTCTCCTTTCGGATGAACGACGGTTTTGTGGCAGGTGAAAGTCGCAGGCACTGCGGAGGCAGTCAAGAAGGACTGGACCTGGCGTGATGCAATTTTTGGACTCCCCTTGTGTTTTGGTCTGAAGGCCAAAGACCTCATCCTTGAGCTTATTGATCAAACAAAGCCGCATGCCAAGAGGTTTTGATCGACTCGGCTCTTGGGACGTGCGTAAACTTTACGTAATGCTGCTAGGCAGAAACATTTGAGCTCGCACTATGTGGAGATTCCACGCTCAAAGCCCGTGCCCATGAGTGCAACCGTCTCTGAACTGTTAAAGGGCAGCTCACACCGAGGATAGGTATGGTGATAGGATTGAAAGGAGCGTGGTCCTCAGCTGTTGTTGGCGCACCACGCAGGGCACCTGTTGCGCATTTGTTGCGACAAAGGCGCAAGTAAACGAAGTCCAAGCGCAGACTCAAACCAAAATCGACGTCGACTTCGAGACAGATCCATGCAAGTGTTACATCAAGGCCGGTATTGCTGCATCAGTACGCGACAAGTAAGAGTGAAGAGAAGCCGCTTTTGACAGGGTGAGGCAGACAATGTGGACCGTGCGGGACTCTAGGGAATGTGATGCACACCGGCAAGCTCAACTGTGCCGCGAGTGACAGAATGACAAGAGTATAGCTTAGGCGCCAAGAAAGTCTTGCTTACGATAGCTATGCAGTTGGAGGCTGCCTCATTCCACCGAATGTCAGCCTCCACCCATGACTTTTGTCAGGATGAGGCATCCGAGTATCTGGACCTGCCGAAGACAGTGTCTGGAGCCCTAATCGGAGCTCAAGGCGCCTCGGGTTCAGAAACTTGCTATGGCTCCTGCGACCATGAGCATGGATGCTGAAAGATCGGATGTAGCTCTGCAATGCTCGACTGGTGTTCAGGATCCCGCATCCGGCAATTTCAAGAGACCAGTGGCGCAAGACCCTCAGTTTTAGAGCACTTGCCAAACCCCCATACCTCCCTTTGCTTGATCCCAGGCTCGCATCGACATTGACAAGTCCGGAAATCGCTGCAAGGTTCGATTGACCGGCAGCAAGGACCTGGCAGCGGCACGCGCAGCACCGCGTGCAAGCGACAAAGTGGAAGATCCATCCCTGCATTTTTCAAGGAGGCAGTGTCCATCGCCAAGTCGCTCATACAGGCCTGCCCGTTGCAAGTACGAGCGACTAGGCCGTGCAGCTGTCGTAGAGGCAGAGCTGGACAAAAACATGGTCCCAACGAAGACACCTGGAAGCATGCTCGTTGCTTAGACTACTCATGGGCAAAGAAGTTTAAACTGATTCGTCTGTTGCAGTTGAAGCTCTCAGGGCCAGCAGTGGTGCAGGGGTGTCCCACGGACCTATTGCAGTGCCAGCGTGCCTGCCTTGGCATCCTGTCTGATCCGAAAAGCGTAGCACACGCCAGCTCCCAGGCATCAACCTAGCAGTTTCCCAGCCACGCTGTCAGAATCTATTGCAAGAGTCGGCTTCTCAGAAAGCTCTGGGCTTGCGTGACAAAGTTCAAATGCTTACCAAGAATCATTTGTAGCGGAGTTTTAGTCTGGCTGTTGCCAATCTCTGCTCAGGCAAGAGCCGCAGCAGAAGCTGTGAAGCATGGGTGCAGATCTAAAACTCTGAGCTGTTTTGTCGTCGTGACGGCGGAGTGAAATCGTAAGGCTGATACCTAGCGGGCCTCCCGAAGGGTCCCCTGTGAATCCACCGCCGCCAGCTCCGTTGCCGGCTGGGAGCTCGGTGCAAGGATCTTGAGCCACGAGGAGTGGACACTGTGTGAATGTGGAGTCGCGATTGCGCAGCCCTATCAAGCACGGAGGTACCAAAGTGTCTGGTGCATGTTTGATAAGTGGTCAGCAGCATCCTGCCGTGGTGGCGCTCAGATAAAACAACACAAATCTGAAGATATTTTGAGAGGGAGATGTCTGCTTAGGCTACCTGTGCATGTGTTACATTGTGTTAGTTACCATGCTGCCTTGAATCACTTTTATGGCCGAGGTACCGCCGCCGCCCAGGCCGCCAGGTGCGTTTGCCGGGTGCAGATGTCGGATTGGCAGTGCTCTTGTTGGATTTCGGCACGGTGTCGCAGGTGCGCCAAAGGGTGGTCACTGGGGCGGAGGTTCCGCCTGAAGAGTCAAAGGAAAGTCAGCGATCTGATGCCTGGAAGGAGGTCAGTGGGGCGGCGGTGGTTGGTGAGCCGTTGGTCACTCGGGCAACGTTGTAGCGTAGAGCCCTTGTTGAATCACCATCGAACAAGCCAGGCGGCAGCCCTGAGTTTGCTATTTTCTTGTGACTTCTGGTGGTTCGCGCTGACACTGTCGGCGATGAGCTGTTTCTGCAAAGTATGTCCGTTCTCAGCCTGTTTATGCATCTGTCATGTACGTGTTTCGGATACGACGCGGATGCTGCTCATGTGAGCTGAACACTAGGGCGTCGGGACGGTCTCATTTGCGACTGTCGCGCAGAGGAAATGAGAGCTGGGAGGGTTGGCCGACATCTGCAGTTCTGCTCCTTTGTCCGAGCCAAAACCAGCCCTACCACCTCAGCTGGCTCTTTCGTTGCCAGCCGTGCCAGCTGCCCTGGCCTTTCCAGAGGCAAGGCAGTGTCAGGCCCTGCTGTGCAATCTCCCTTCATCCTTTGAAGCTGCCAGGAAAAGGATGCAGCCATGATGGCACTCCGCGTGATCATTGTAGCAGTGCTGTCGGCCATGTACTCAGTCTCCTCTATTCAATCCACCTTGTCACCCTTTGACAGATCAGGTGCCAACCCTGGGCACTGTTCTTGCACGGATCCTGCCTCGGTGGTTCGCCGTGCGTGTCGCTGATGTCGCTGTAGAAGCGCTTGAGAGAACTCCGAGGGCCAAGCTGCGGCAAGGATCTAAGTCTTGGCAGGACGTCGATGCGTCGGCAGCTGAATGCTGCACAACGCAAGCCTCGCCAGGATTTCTCTCCCTGCAGCTGTTCGGAATGCCTTGGAGAACACAAAAATGATGGTGCCTTGCTTGAATACCGACTAAGAAAGACAGGGCACGATCTCTTTTGTGCAGGTGGAGATGGCAGCGTTGGCTTCCAGTGCTTCCCGAAAACGTCTGGCGGGAGTCCAAGGGTCCTTCCCGCCATCCTTCGGTCGCACCTGCAACTTGGCTGAGGCTTGGCAGACTGCCGCCAGACGGAGCCGGTTGCCACTCGTGTGGTGCTGTTCTCGGCATGTCTCTGGCATCTTCAGAAGCCCTGCAAAACTCATCCTGCCGACATGCCATGCTGTCGCCTAAACGTATTACATCGCTTTTCATGGCAGCTAGTTTACGAGGCTTTGGTGCGGCCTGAGGGAGAACCTGAAGCGCTTTAAGTTTCTGTTTCACGCGTTAGCTGTAGGTTTGAGCATTTTGGTATGACACTGCCGATACGTCAGCATCGGACCCGTATAGATCCTGGATCCTCTCTATCAGATCATTGAGGCTGGGAGCTGCTAGATCATTCCTTTGGCAGGATCACAAATTCCTCCCCTCAGCTCTCCCACCCTCCCCTACCCCTCCACCCCCTCCTCCGCCGGTCTCCCTCACGCGGAGGGGCGGAGGGGTGGAGGAGGGAGGGGAGGAGGAGGCGTGGAGGGGTGGAGGGTGGAGGGTAGAGGTGGGGGAGGGTGGAGGTGGAGGGGTGGAGGAGGGTCGAGGAGGAGAGCTTCTGTGTGGGTTCAGGGGCTGCTGAAAGCACATGAAGACACCAGGTGCAAAGTGCTGACGTCCTCAGCTACGACCGCTTCTGCCTGTACACCTGTAAGCAGAAAGCTGAGTCAAGATCATGATGGCATTCAGCTCAGATGTGTGGCCGGCGAGGCCTCTCTTGACAGATGAGATCAAGCCAGTCGTAGACTGCGCGCATCTCAACGACAAAGAAATAACGCGCGCCTGACAACTTAATGAATGCCCGACCCTCGCAGTACAGCGTCGACTCTTTCACGTATTCTTCGCCGCCAGGGAGTTGGCCCAGAGCCCTTCTTCCAACGGACGGGAAATTGTGTATGAGGCACAGTGGGGTGTGGGGCCTCAAGGAAAGTTTGCAGCTGCACGAACGAGGCGCATCCCCTTGCGCGTGTGGGGCCCATCTCCCAGGTTCTCGCACAACCCGAGGTGCGACAGCAAACCACACATGGAAGACTTCTTGTGCAGATCACCCGTCCTAGCCATCAAGTGATGTTCGGATGCAGTGCAGGGTTGTGTCTGGTGCCAGGCATCCATGTTGGACACTGCTTCGGTGGTTGATAGGCAGGGTGCTAGCCCTGCACGTTGACAGCTGCAGTTCGACTCTGTGTCGCAGGTCCAGCGATCCGGTGAGTGCAATCCGAGCAACCTTCGCATCCTTGAGGCCCGGAAGGCAGCTGCCCTAAAAGGAGCTCTCGTGTAGGGAGATGCTCAAGCAGGAAAGCAGAGACCGCAGCGCCAGGCTGGTCACTGGAACCCGCTGTGACAACCAGCACAGTTCGCCTGGCAATGCCAGGTGTCAGTCCCTACACTCTTCCAGATGCTGCAAAGGCAGACCAGCTGACTCTGTGCATGTGTTTAGCCGGCCTGGTCCAAGCAGACTGTGCAGGCCCCTCCGCTTTGTGTTTGCCACTGTGGCAACAAGGTGAATCGCAGACCTGGCCTGGCTTGGTAGGCAAAGCATGGTGCTGCAAGTCGGAGCAGTATCATGGGTTTGAGGCATGCGCCAGACGGAAAGTGATGGCATCATGTACCCGAAGCCCAAGCAGGCACAGAGTGATTTCTGATATTTATGATGTCTAGGTCCCATCTGTTGGTGTCCGGACGATAGGTACGATTGCCTCTTGCCGTCACTTCTGCCGGCAACCCTGCTGCGCAGCCAGAACCTCCACAGCCTCCCATGCCACCGTCCGCGCCCCATCTTGCCCCACACAGGACTCGTCCTGTTTCTCGGTGCAGCGAAGCCCACAAGCCTGATAGAGGCCACGAGCCCCAATGCACATGCGGACGAGCCTGCTTTGCAATGCGAAGGGATGGAGATGGACACATAAACCAAAAAGTGCGTGAAGACAAAGACGCCAATGCTTTGACTCGGTACAAGCCCAAGCCTTTTTGCTGTTTCGCTTCGAACGACCCCGCCTAAGATGTCGGAATCCCTGCTGACGGATGTACATATTTTGTGAAGCACACTGCGAAGTTGTAGTCCGTATCCTCGCATGGAAGTCTCGCATAATTTGAAGCTTCTCATGGCAAGCTGTAGGAAATATTTATCCTGGGAATCGCAGACACATCCTTGGTGCACTTGCAAAGAACGCCCGCCTTCTATCACGAAAGCTAGCCTCCTGGGCTAGCGGAGGTTCTTCAACCGAAGGTTGCAACAAGGAGAGTGGGGAAAGGGCCCCACAAAATTGAGTCAAACGGTGCCGGTTTCCCGAGCTAGACTGCAGCGTGGGCGACCCCCTCCTTTTCGGGCATGAAAAAGGAGTGTTTCGGCTTGCCCTGGAACGGAGAAACGAGCCGCCAATGATGCTCATGATGCTGGCCTCCCGGCCGGGCGCCCATGATGCTCGT